CCCCCCCCCCCCAACAAATGCTATCTAATGTGGGTTTCTGCTTCCAGCTCAGTTCAAGTTAGAGGACTGATGCAGGGTATTATGCCATGTAATCCTTTTGCAGTCTTAAAGTCATTCCAGTAACACCAGTTATTCATAGTAAAAATGTCTGTACATTAAAGTTTTTCATAGTTTGGCTACACAGTTTCTGAAGGATTTTTAATGGTGATCTATCAGTACCAGGAAACTTTTAGCAGGAATGCTTGTTACTAGCAATGTAGGGCTTGCACCAGGTAGGATTGACTTGACTTTAAAGGAAACTGGGCTTGCTGTACGTTATCCAGATTGACCTTCAGTCAGTGTTGAGCTCCTGTGCTGTGGAAGGTAAAGTGTATACACAGTATACTCTACAAGAGGGGTCGGGGTTCAGGCTTCTATTCCATGACCTGCTCATTGTTCAAAAAATGGATAAACTTGACCTACTGAATATAATCCATTCTGTCCTGTTGTATACTATGTTTTTCCTTCTGCATATTTGTGCAGTGTAGATTGATCCCAATTTTCTGAGTGAGGGTTTAGCAGTATAGTACTAGTGCTGTCTACATTTGGTCAGTGGGGGGAAGGCATGGATCAGATTTCTGTAGAGTTAATGAAAAGAACTCTCTGGGACTGGAAATAAAATAAAACTGTTTAGTGGATTAAGGGTAACCAAATCCAACTTTAAGCTTTTAGTACAGAGAACTTCTGAAGTAAATGCTATAATGAATTGCTGTATCTAAACTTTAAATTCATCTCTGCTTTTTGTCTTAAGCAGTTAATTATCAGCCTGATGGAGTTGTTCCGGTCAGCAATGGTAGTCTTGCCTTTTACCCAGCACAGACTAATGTTATCCCCAGACCTGCTCAGCCTTATCTCAATAGTCGTGGGTCTGTTAGAGGATCTACCAGAGGTGGGAGATCACTAGCCAATTCATACCGCTCCCCTGGTGGATACAAAGGTATGTATGTTCTTTATTTAACCTACTTATGGAAAGGATAAATTCCTGCAGAGGTAGGGGAATATAGAAGTAGGAGGAAAAATTCTTATGCCAAAAGAAACTAGTACAGTATATGTTAATGATGAAAAATGTCTTGCATTCAAAAGCTTGCTTAACTCTATTCCACTTATGCTGTTAATTCAATAAAAGATATTGCCCTAAATTCCTTGCCTCTTGCAATGTTTCATTTAGCAGTTCTAGTAATGGGTAGCGGAGTACTTTAAAGGGGACATTGGAGCTTGCCACACAGAAGACTAGAGCAAAACTGTTGGACTAATTCTGTGGTGAAGGTTAACATACTCTTATGGCTAAAATCTAGGAGTGAGATATAAAGGTTCACTGGCAATAAACTGTTTCAGTCTTGTCAGAGTGCACCCAGTACCTGTTTCTCAAATCCTATCTCTGACTTGACAAACGATACATTCATGAAAGCCCAATTCTGTCTGCTAGTTGAGCTGTTTATTT